CGGCGGTGAGGCAAGGACCTGGCCCTGAATAGAAAGGGAGGAAGTCTCGAGCAGGGCTGCTGTTGTTGGGAGCGGCGCCGATGCTGAAGAGAGTAGGGCGCTAGCCCAGCGTAAAACAAACGAAGTCTCGAGCGGGAACGCTGGTTTTGTTGGGACGGCGGCTTTCGGCGGCGAGGACAGGAACACCGTCTTGAGGAAGAAGGGAGGAAACATCGAGCGGGAGCCGTGATTATGTCGGGACGGGGGCTGTAGGCGGCGAGGAGCAGCACCGTCCCAAGGAAAAAGAAAGGACATCTCGAGCTGCAGCTTTGTTCTTGCTGGGAGCGGCGCCAATTCAAAAGAGAATTGGGCGCCAATCCAGCGTATAACGGAAGGAAGTCTCGGGCGGGAGCGCTGGTTTTGTCGGGGCGGTGGCTCTCGGCGGCGAGGAGGAACACCGCTTTGAGTAAGAAGGGAGGAAGCATCAAGCGGGAGCCGTGGTTTTGTCGGGACGGGGGTTGTCGGCGAGGAGGAACAGCACCGTCTTCAGGAAAAAGGGAGGAAGCCTCGAGCGGGTCGTTGTTCTTGCTGGGAGCGGCGCCAATTCAAAAGAGAGTTGGGCGCCAGTCCAGCGTAAAACTGAAGGAAGTCTCGGGCGGGAGCGCTGGTTTTGTCGGGGCGGTGGCTCTCGGCGGCGAGGAGGAGCACCGCCTTGAGTAAAAAAGGGAGGAAGCGGGAGCTTTGTTTTTGCTGGGGGCGGCGCCGATGAGAGAAAGAGTAGCGCGCCATTCCAAGGTAAAACGGGAGGAAGTCTCGAGCGGGAGCGCTGGTTTTGTTAGGACGGCGGCTTTCGGCGGCGAGCAAGAACACCAGCCCTGAGTAAAAAAGCAGGAAGTCTCGAGCGGGAGCGTTGTTGTTGGGGGGCTGGTTTTTGCGGTCCCCGAAACCGCTCGAGCGTGAGCCTCATTTTCAACGAAAATGCAGCCGGCGCCTCGGCGAGAGCGCCAGGGCGCCTATCAGGGGTCCAAGAGTAATAACTGTTGAATAATTAACATTCAACACCAACAACCAAAACCACCACGACGACTTGTTTCTACGTCGACATCTGGGATGGTGCGTAAGCCTCATATTGGCTGACGTCTTGCAACAAAAAGATGCCCCTTCTCGGGGGTCACTCGAAAAGGATCCCGTCGCACGGAGGGGCAGATGCCTCCGTCTCTCGCTGGGCGCGTGCGCACAGTCAGGAGTGCGACCACGACGACGACGACGACGACGACGACGACGACGACGACGACGACGACAAACACTAACAAAGCACGAACTACACACAGGCCGCAACAGCCACCAAGCAAAAAAAGCGGGCGGCCCGAGGGCCGCGGGGCCTCGTAGGCGGGGCGTTCCTCGAGGAGGCAGATGAGCATGAGGCACCTGCGCGGCAGAGGTGCGGGGGGCCTGACACACGAAGGCTCAGGCAGAGGATCAAGGAGCGGCATGAGCTACAGACGTCCTGAGGTCCGCGCGGACTTCTTGGATCGGCGCTTCACCCCCCCCCAGGCGGCGCCTCTGGCGCGGCCCCGTGGCGCGCTCAGCGCGCCAGGGAGGGGGAGGCGATCTAGCGCCGCTCCACGAAATCTGCGTGGACCTCCGTGATGTCGTTCTTTCGGTCAGGTCCTCTTCGTACTCATCGATGTTCCTCCTCCTCCTCCTCCTCCTCCTCCTCCTCCTCCGCCTCTTACCACTTACGGGACTATGCGCCTGAGTCCTCTGACAGGGGGCGCCGTGGCTACCGCCACTGCTGGGAAAAAGACCAGGCTGGCCGGCTCCAAGTCGAGAAGCTCGGGCCAATCGCGAGGTAGCCTGGCGGGATCCTGCCCTCCTCGAGGGCATCAGTCATCTTCCTGCAATGCCCGGGCAGCTGGTTCGTGCAAGGCTTCCCCGATTTGCAAACGGGATCTTGCCTTTTCGAGGGCACCAATCAGCTTCCTACCATGCTTGGGCATCTGGTTCGTGCAGGGCTTTCCCAATTTGCAGAAAATTTGGACTCCGCCTCCTCCTCCTCCTCTTCCTCCTCCTCCTCCTCAACGATCCTCTTCCTCCCTCCTCCCTCCTTTGTCCTCCTCCTCGTCCTCCTCCTCCTCCTCCTCTGTCCTCCTTCCCCTCCTGCGGCAAAAATCCGTCACGACGTGCGCCACTGCGCGTCGATTGAACGGCAGTCCGCCTGTGCCCAAGCGGCAACCTGGAATACCAACTCGGGCTGGTTGGCCAGACCTGGCGGGCGTCTGCCGGCTTGTCTCCCCCTCCTCCTCATCCTCCTGGTCCTCGATCCTCCACGTCGATCCTCCTCACCGATCTTCCTTTTCCCGCCGCTGTGGGGCCCCGCCTGAGGACATCACAAATGAAGTCTCATCAACAGTCCACACGATCCAGCTGAGCAGGAATCTCAGCTTTCAGGACCCCTGGCAAAAACCCACTGGACTCACCGATCCTCTTCCTCCTCCTCCTCCTCCTTCTCCTCGTCGTCCTCCTCCTCCTCGAAAAAACAGGGGAGGATCCTTTTCCGTTCTCAAAATCGGCGTTGTTTGTCTGTTTTGATCATGGCTTTCTCCTTCTATGCAATTGATGTTCGAACCACCGTTGTTTTGTGTAACGTCGGCCTTCGTTATGTGTTCGTATTCGGTGACCGCTTTCTTTTCGTCTTCAAGCCCGTACCCCACCCCCATGCTGGCATTTCGTGTCCTGCCCGCTTTGAGCTCGCGCACGGATCGTTGTTCCTCCGTTTGGGACTGCCGTTTTGTTTCTTTTCTGGTCGACCGCAACCAGAACAAAAAGCTGTCATCTGGCACAGAACTCGGCTCCAGCGTCTGTTTTTCTGCTTCAGGAGCCATGAGAACGACACCAAAACAATTCGTCCCTGGGGCTTTTCAGAACCAGAGTTTCCAGGAGCACTCTGAAGTCGGGGATCTACTGAGCTGGGTCAAACCAGATCCGGGTCAATCAGCCTTTGCAGGATCCTGCAGGATCCTGCACCCAAGCCCGGGTCAGTGCAGCCCTGGCTCTGCAAGATCCTGCAAGATCCGGCGCTCTGGCTGACCCCCGGTTGCATTGACCCCCGTCGCTTGGGGCCCGATGGAGACCTCCGCGGAGACCTCGGGGAGCCCATGGTCACCCGACCTCGCGCTCATCGCGCTGCCGAGGGTTAGGTCGGGCATGTCCCCCTTACAGGCGGATTCTGGACGAAAAATGAAAAGAAAAACAGGAACAGCAAACCCGGACCAAAAATGATAGTCAGAAAGTAATAGAAAAATCGTCCCCGAACTACTTTTTCACCATTTTGAAATATTCCTTCGGAGGTGGATAGACCTCCTACCCCGACGCGTCGATAAAGGAATTGGCCGTTCTCGGTCCGCGAGAGGGCGTCGCGGCCGTCACTTTTTTGCGGGCCCAGGTCCGTCGGTTTCGGCCCTGGGCCGTTCTCACTGAAGGGGTGGTTTTACTACGGGGAGCCGCAGAGGGACAGGCCCGACGCAGGCCCGGGGCCGCAGGGCGCGATCATCGCCGCGCCCGCCGTGCCGCCCTCTGGCCGGGGCCTGCCGGGGCGGCTCGCGGGCGCCGCGGGGGACTCGCGAGGGCTCCTCGGGGGCGCGGCGCCCCCTGGCGGGCCTCTCGAGGGCCTCGAGGGCCGCCGGCGCCTGCGGGCCTTCCGGGGGCTTCCCGGGGGCCTCGCGGGGGCGGCTTCGCGGGGCCCCGCGGGCCGAGGAGCGAGCACCTTTTGGGGGCTGACTACCTACCAGACCACCCCAACCCAACCCGAAGACCCGAATGTCGGGTTGGGGGGGGTAAGGGTTCCACATGTATTTTTTCTATGTTTCCCGACCCCCCCCCACTGGAAATCGAGGGTAAATCTGAGCCTTCGGGTAGGGTTGGGGTGGTGTGGTTGGTGGTGAGGGGCTGCCAGGGTCGAGGGCTTCGGGGAGCGGGGCCGTGCGGGATATCGGGGCTCGACCGGGGGGGCCGCGGGGCTCCGGGCAGCGGGGGGTCGAGCTGGCTCCCCGGGGCCGTCGGCAGAGCGACGGGGCCGCCCGCCCGCAGGCATCTCAGGAAAGCTGGGCCGTCAAAGCTCACGCCGGGGCGTCGGCGAGAGGCGGCGGCCCGCCCGAGCTGCCGCAAGCTCGAGCCTGTCACGAGTCTCTGCAAGGTGCTCCTGCCCCAGGGTGTGCCGGCGTTCCCAGCCAAGCGTTTTTTGCCTGCAGGGCCCTCGCAGCCTCGTGAGGGGTTGCTCTGGAGGCCACCCGGGCCTCCCTGGAGTTAGGTCGGGCATGTCCTCCTACAGGCGACGTGTGGAAGACAAATAACCAATAATCCAAAAGTAACCCAAACAAGTCCAAAGAGCACGACAAATCGCCACCAGACTACTTTTCTATTATTCTTGAACTATCCTCCTGTAGAGGGACACGCCCGACTTAACCCTAGAGATCCCAGGGACACCCAGGGCCAAGGCTGGAAGCAGCCCAAATGCGGTCAGCGCAGACGGGGTCGGAGGATCGCGCCGCAGCGCCGATGCAACGCCGATGCATCAGCGACGTCGACGATACCTCGGCGCCGTCGGCGCGGAGAAAATCCAGCTCCACGTCGAGCCGCATCGCCGATGCGGTTATGCGGCGCGATCCACCGATCTCATCTGCTCGGACCCCACTCGGGAGGCGCCTCCGAGTTCGACGTGGCAAGATGGGGCCCCGAAGGCTTTCGGGAACCTCGGCCCTTGTACGTTGCTGTTTGTTTTGCCCTGGGGGGGCCTGGTCGTTCCCACGGCTGGGCGCAGCTCGAAAAACGTTGCCCCCATCGGGTCTTAGTACCCACCCAGATCTCCGACGTCGTGATTTTTTCACAACGTCGACCCCTGGAGGTTTCAACCACATCCCCAGGACAGGCAGTCCATCCTGAGTCGTTCTCGACTGTCTTAGGGCGCGGTACGGGCCCCCAGAAACATAAACAACTGTAACAACAACTCGCGGCGTGATGTTGCCGCAACGAGAGGAGGTAAGGAAAAGGTGGCGCTGCGCCACTTTTGGCGACACCCCTAGCCAGCCCCGATCTCATCCCTACCGTGAGGTCAACAAGCCTAAAGGCGATGGCAATATCAGGCATGCGCCCTGAGAAACGGAAGAAAGCCTTAAGATCGGCATCGAGGTCAGGTGATGCCAATCACAGAGATAGGGATATATGTCGCCGCGCCGTTTGTGCTCGACGCGCCCAAGTGGACGACGCCGACACCACGGCAAACACGGCAAACCCTGCGTCCCGCACCCCAAGTAGACGAGGCCGCCACGCGGCAAACCCCACGGCGAGCACGCCGCGCCCTGGACGGCTTTTGCCCTGGTGGCCGAGGCGCCCTCCCCAAGACAGAAGGCCGCGCGTCGGAACAAACGGCGTGGCGACGTGTGTTCCAGGCTGACAAACCCGACCCTGAGAGGCAGGACCCCGGGAACCCAGCGGCCGCCAGGAAGGCCCAGCGCAGACCCAAGAGATCCGCGCGGACCGTCGAAAGTGTACGTTTATGCCGTTTTTTCTCCGTCGAAACCCAGACATGATCGCGCCGTAAAGCAGTCAGGACAGCACATGGTTCACTATGTTCGGCCCTTGGGGGCCCTCGCTGGCCCCGGGACCGTCAGGAAGCGACTCGGGATGGACAACCGGCCCCGAGGAAAGGGCCTGGACTTCCAGGGACGCCGCACTGAAAAAATCAGGACGTCGCATGTCTGGGGATAGGGATCTTGGGCGCCCGAATTATCCGGGGTAGCTCGGGTCCGGGGTAACTCGGGTTTGGATTCCCGAAAACGGAACCCGAGTTAGCCCTGACCCGAGTTACCCCTGATGATATGGGGCTCTGGACGCCCGAATTATCCGGGGTAACTCGGGTCCGGGATAACTCGGGTTCGGATTCCCGAAAAACGAACCCGAGTTAACCCTGACCCGAATTACCCCTGATGATTCGGGGCTCTGGACGCCCGCATTATCCGGGGTAACTCGGGTCCGGGATAACTCGGTTCGGATTCCCGAAAAACGAACCCGAGTTAACCCTGACCCGAGTTACCCCTGATGATTCGGGGCTCTGAGGATCTGTTCCAGGCTGGCAACAGCCCCACCCTGCTGAGGCAGGGCCCTCGGAGCCTGGAGCCGCGCAGCGCACAGCGACCGAAGGCCCTTCCTTCAGCAGGGACCGACCGCCCCGGCATTCCTAGAGGCCTACCAGGACATGTTCTCAGAACCCAAAGATGTTCTAAAGAACAAAAGAATGTTCTTATAGCATAAACCCGAGTGGTTTTAAACAAAACAGCCACAACATGTGATTAGAACAGTATGTGGTCGGCCTATTGGGCATGTAGTGCTCAAACACCCAGAGGCCGCGGCTACCATCAGACCCTGATGCGGGGATGATGCTTGACAACTCCGCAGGGGCCTAACAGTGATTTCTTGGCTCGGCGCTGCGCCCCCGAGCTGCGCCTCGAGCGCCCCCCCCGGCTCGACTCGCGCGACGGCGAGGGGGGCCGGGCGCCGATCCCAGAAACCCGCACGGACCTCCGAGAGTTCGTGTTCTGCGCCTCTCGTGCCCGCATTGGAAGCGCGCGGCCGTGCGCCGATTGCTCTGTCCTTGGCTGACGAGCGGGCGGCACGCCCTCAAGTCTGTAGGGGTACGGACTGTGGCCTCGCGGGCTGAGGGCGCGCTGCAGAGATGGGCGCGGGTGGTGTCAGACCCCGAGAGAGCTCCCTCTCGAGCGGGGGCCCTCCTCCGACGACACACGCCCATGGCCCCCACTCCCCGGAAGCCCACTCCGAAGAATCTGCGCGTCGCACAGGTATTGGCGCCAGTGGTCAGACACCAGACCCGGGTCAGTCGGGCCTTACAGAATCCTGCAGGATCCTGCGCCCAAACCCGGGTCAATGCGACCCTGGCCCTGCAAGGTCCTGCAAGATCCGGCGCTCTGGCTGACCCCCGTTTGCATTGACCCCCGTCTCTTGAGCCCCGAGTCTCGACCCCTTCCCCAGGACCAGCTCTTCATCCTGAATCTTTCTCAGGCGGTCCCGAGGGCTGGCGAGAGCCCCCCGGAGGCCGAGAACAGCGAACAAAATTTCCCGCCATGATTTTTTCCATTGCCGAAGGGAGGGCCGGGTCGGCGGCCCCGGCCCGCCTGCACACGTACTCGCGCTTGTTCAGGGGGTCGTTGAAGAGGAGCACGCTGTAGTCCTCGGGGATCTTCTGACCCGGGTCGATCCAGACCCGGGTCAGCAGGAAACCAAAAAACTGCAGTGCAGGAAAGACAACTGCAACGCAGGTCTTCGCAAACCCGGGTCAGCCCATATTTGCGCGGCCGCCTCGCGGCCACGAGCGGCTCGCTCACCCCGGGCCATCTTCGCAGGATCCTGCAGGATCCGGTGCCCTGGCTGACACCCGTTTGCATGGACCCCCGTCTCTTGGGCCCCGCAGTCCTTGGCCCGCTTGTGGGCCGGGTTCTCCTCCACCTC